GGATAAACCTAAAAATACACGATCAAAACACACAAAAAAAAAACAAAACAAAACAAAAAAAAAAACAAACAAACAAATTCCATATCCTAAATTCGAAAATCTATAAACTAAGTTGAAAAAATTAATCAAAATACCTCCAAAGTGTTACGAGTGGGAGAAGGATGAGCAACTTTTCAGAACATTTTTTCTCCATACCAATTTTCTTGTTCACAACCTTCGAGCGTTTACTCGAAGTAGAAACAGAAACATTGTCCTTCCTCTTGCTTTATGTTTTCACCATATCTTAAACAATAATATATAGAATCACAAAATCAGAGAAAGAAAAAAAAAACCAAAGGAACGCGAAAAAAAAAACTCATACAAAAAAAAAACCTGTCAGAGAATGCACACTGTCAGCGATGATAGAGAGAGTTGCAGAGCTAGGAGAAAAAAATCGCAGTAGACGGACGGAGGGAAGAAAGACAGATCGCCGAAGAAGAACGAAAACAAAAACCTAAAAAATCGCAGGAGATCACCGGTGGAAAGAAAAAATTGTCTTAGAGAGAGAAAACATAGAGCACAAGTTATGCACAACAACCGAGTAAAAAAATCTGAGATACGGTTTTTAAAATATAACCGAATAAAAAATCTATAAATTATGGACCATAACATGTCAAGTTATGGTCCATAACTTTACAAGTTATGCACAAAACCTGAGTAAAAAAATCTGAGATACGGTAACCGAATAAAAAATCTGTAAATTATGGACCATAACCTGTCAAGTTATGGTCCATAACTTTACAAGTTATGCACAAAACCCGAGTAAAAAAATTTGAGATACGGTAACCGAATAAAAAATTTGTAAATTATGGACCATAACCTGTCAAGTTATGGTCCATAACTTTACAAGTTATGCACAAAACCTGAGTAAAAAAATCTGAGATACGGTAACCGAATAAAAAATCTGTAAATTATGGACCATAACCTGTCAACTTATGGTCCATAACTTGACAAGTTATGCACAAAAACCGAGTAAAA